GCCATTGGGCCCTTCTTGTTGGGGTGTTGAGGGCAGGCCGATTCCATACTCAGGTGTCCGTATGCCCTGCATTTAAAGCACCATGGTCTAAATTTGTGGGTTGTGTGAATTTGGTAGACCCTCCCTCCCAGGGTATGATGTCATCTATTGAGAAGAGTTGATCTTTGGGTAGATCCAGTGCCAACATCATATAATCATCCCGCTTCGCCACGTAGGACGGAAGTGGATCGATAAAGTCTACTATCTTGTATTGTTGTCCAAAGTCGTAGACGAAGGGCCGTCGAAGGCCGTCTGCACCTCCAGTGGGATGTGTCTCAGTTCCACCCAGAAGAAGTCCTTCATCAATTGTGCTCTCTTCTCCTCCGGGCTCAGTTTTTTCGACTGCCAGGGGTAGATGCGTACGTCTGATTTCTCCCATCTGATTTTCTTCCATCCGTCCATTCTTTGTTTGTCCTGGATGAAAAGGCTGAGGACTGTGAAAACAGTTGATGAGAGAGGTAGGATGAGGAAGAATTCCTAGACCGCCTTCATGCTGCCTTTCATCTCCTCCAACTTCTCCAAGCGTCTGCAAATCCATTTAATTTTATCATTGACTGACCAATGTGCCACGTCTCCATGAAATGGCCAATTGCTCGCGTGTTTGGTATAGACTTCATCTCTTGTCTCCAGCTTGTGTTTCGGGTACGTCCTCATCATTGTCTTCCTTCCTCCCTGGTCTACTACTTGGTTCTCTGACGGGAGGAGGAAGAGGGTGAGGAAGTGAGCCCTCGTCGAAGATAGGTTCCGGAGGGGTACCTTGAGGCTTGAGGGTCTCTTCATTTCCTTGTTGTATACCCGGGGGGGACCGTTTGATGTCGAGGTTTTTTTTCTGAATTGTATTCCTGACTCTTTGGGCCCACGAGGCTTTTGGTCCCCCCGGAGTTCCTTTTTGTTTGTTTATGATAGTTCCTTCTTGTTGCTTTTTCTCTCTGTTTTTCTCTTCTTCCGTCAGTATTTCCTCTTCTTCCATCCCTATTTCTTCCTCCCATTCATCCTCCTGTGTGTTCATCTCGTGGTCCTGGTTGGGGTGTATTCCTTGTGGTACTGTTTCACTTCTTCAAGTTTCCCGATTTTCCTCTTTTTGGGTGGGACCAGGATTCACAGGTCCGGTGGCTACCTTTCTGCCTCTGAGAGACTCCTCGAGATTGGGCCGAATTCATCCAATGAACAGGATTCGGGAGGGGTTGGTGCGTCCGTTGAGGGGGAAGGGTCTTCTTCGATACTGAGCTTCCGTAGGGGCTCACTGCCCGGTGCCTGTGCTGCTGTGCAGATTATGCCTCATGGCACCCTGGTAAAAAATGAGGGAGCCAGGTCCCTTGCTTCTTCTGTATCCCAGGTCCATCTCCTCAGATCCTCTTTTAATTGGTTTGACCTTTGCACCCTAACCTTGCTTTTCCTTTCCCCTTTGCACTATGTGATAGGATTCAATTCCTCTTTTTCCTTGTGTTTTGATTCTCTTTTTCGCACTTATCCCGTCGAGATTTTGTCAAAATTCCTTTGCTGGCTGGGGGGACAACGGGGGTGTTTATGGAGGGCAAGAGGAAGGGGCAGGTTTGCCGGGGGGGGTGGGTGGAGGGGAAATACCTGTCTGTCTTGTCCCTAGCTTGTTTCCCTTCCTCGAATGACCAGTCCGCTTGCTCTTCTTCACCCTCCTTTCTGCCTTTCCCCGTGCCGTATCGTGCTGTCTTTTCTTTATTGCTTCGACAGTTCGACTGCTTGATTACGGTCACTTTTCTTTTCCTAGCCCGTCCCTCTCCTTCTGCTGTCCCTGATCTGCTCCTTTCTTAGGCCCCGGTCCCCCTTATCTCTTCTATCTGTCTCGGCCTTCGTTTTTGGTTGTTGTTGTCTTCTCCGTCATGCCGTAAGCTCTTGGGTCCCGCTCCCCTTTTCTTTGCCCGTTGCCTCACTCCACTCTGCTTCTCTCCCTGCCGCTAGTGCCGAGACTGTGAGCCTGTGCGCCAGCCACGTGTCTCCACTAGTGCCGAGACTGTGAGCCCGTGCGCCAGCCACGTGTCTCCGATAGTGGCTGCCGCTAGTGCCAAGACTGTGAGCCCGTCATGCGGAACAAGTGGACGCTCGCACCACGCTTCCACTTTATCTCACGGGGGGGTGTTTGGTGGTCGACTCCGATTGTTGACTTGTTTCCTCCCCTAAAGCCCGTGCGCCAGCCACGTGTCTCCGCCGGTGCCGACCCACCTTGTCCGTCTTGCTCAATCCGCCGTGCCACGTCCCAGTCTCCCCTTTCTGCGATCCTCCGCTTCCTGTCCTCGTCAGGCCGTTCCTCAATCGCTGCCGAGACTGTAAAATTTACGCTCGTATCGCTCATCGACTTTATCTCCCAGATTGGTATTTTTGCGGTGTACTCCGATTGTTGACTTGTTTCTTCCACTATAGCCCGTGCACTGTCCCGTGTGGTCTGCACGTCGACTTAGTGGCCATGTGTCGCCGCTGGTCTGTCTTT